CCTCTCTCTTTCTGTCTTTCTTTCTTTCTTTCTTTCTTTCTTTCTTTTTCCTTTTTTCTTTTTGTTTTGTTTTGTTCTGATTTTTGAGACAGGATGAACTCTCTCTGTAAACCAGGCTGGCCTTGAACTCAGAGATCCGCCTGCCTCTGCCTCCCAAGTGCTATGCACCACCACTGCCTGGCTCTTCCTGCTTTCTTATAGAACCCAGGGCCACCTGTCCAGGAGTAGCACCACCCACTGTGAGAAGGGCCCTCCCACATCAATCATCAATCAAGAAAATGCCCCAGTACAGGCCAGACTATTGGGAGCATCTTCTGAGTTGAATCTCCCTTTTCCTATATGACTCTAGCTTGTTTCAAGTTGATATAAACCTAGCCAGCACAATAACCAAGCATGAAATAGAACAATGTACCACAATGTGTGACAGAGTATGTGAACGATGCCTCTCTTTCAAAATATTACTGTTTTATAGGACTGTACTATCTTCCTTTTTTTAAAAAAAAAAACTATTTTAAAGACAGGGTCTGGCTGGGTAAGCCAAACTACCCTCAAACACATGTTCCTTTTGCCTCTGCCTCCCAGCTGCTGAGATCACAAGCTCACTTTTCTTGTGATGCTATTAATAATGGTTCACTCTGTGTTGATGGGCAACCCTGAAGCAAATCTCCCATGATCGGGAGCTGCTGTATTGTTATTGGGACTATCTGCAGCAATCAATGTCCACTACTCTGTGTGTGTGTGTGTGTGTGTGTGTGTGTGTGTGTGTGTGCTACACTCAGATGCACATAAAGAAAGTGTGTGTGCACTTTTGTGAATCTTTTCAAAGAAAAACAGCATGAAATGTACATCTTACCTGCTATCTGAGATATGTTCCCTTCAGCCCTGACTTACTGTAGTCCCCAGATGTAACAACTGGGACCACCAGAGCCAAATGCATGGACATGCAGCTCTTCAAGGAGACTTCTGCCTCCCTACATCCCGGAAGGAGATAAGGGCCTCCCTGAGCCTTGTAAACTATTCAACATCAAACATAACCAACCACTAAGAGTTGGGGGGTGTGAAGAAAGAGTATGTAAGTGCCCACTCTCCTCATCTTTCAGCTTTTCACAGATTCAGAACTTTTCAAAAGAGCTAATAAAGACTGGGAGTAGAGGTCACTGGGAAAGACCTAGCAGCAGTCACTGACGGGTACTGAGGTAATTCTCCTCCTTCATACACGATTAGATTCGTGTTTCAGCTATGTTCTCTTGAGCAAGCTACACAGCCCCTCTGAGCAGGCCTCAGTTTCCCCCACTAAACCGAAGGGAGGAAATCAGATGTGTTAGACTGACACGTGGGTTTAGATAGACTCTATCGGCTCCATTGATTCCACTGATGTTATTTTCATTACTAACCTGGTATATGAGACGTTATGGAATCCCAGCGCCCTGCTGAAGGCTAGGACAGTTGGAGAAAAGCAGTGGAAACCATCACCTGGAGCAGCTTGTGTGGGTGGTCACATATTGGGGCTGGGCTTGGGGACTAATGAGGTAAGTTCTAAAAGCTGACCCTCTTCTGTATAGAGAGATCTGGAGAACAGGCAGGAAGCATTGAGATCTAACTTATGATGATGACAAAGAAGGCAGCTAGGAAGGGGGAAGCCTAAAGCACACTGTCTGGATACACAAGAGCAGATGGAATTCCTGCACAAGCGCCACAGCTGAAACAAGCACCTTGTTTTTAAAGGTCTGACTAAATCAGGATTCTAATCTGTGAGGCTGCCCTATACCAAGAAGCAGTAAGAGTCACTCCAGGTTAGACCTAAGCGTGCATTGCTTAATTCCGTCATGATTTCATGGTGAATGACCTCAGGCACATTACTTAGCCTCTCTGCTGTTTGAGACATTTGATCTTCCATCTGTGTGGCAGAAAAAGCAGATTCTCAGAACTGCCGGGACTGGGTGAGAGAAGAAACGAGAAGCCGTATTCAAAAATAGCACTAAAAAATGTGTAAAAATATCTACTTGGCCTTACTTTTCAAACCAATCTGACTATTTGGGGGGACATCTAAAGAGCTCATCATAACCTCAACAAAAGTGAAGACCCAGAGCCTCCCAGTGTCTGGTTGACTGACTTTTCTAACAGCTCTTGCTTGAGACGTGACTAGAGGTCAAGAACCCTTCGGTGGTGGATGTCTGGATGCCGCTGGTACTGTTTACAGCACTAGCGCTCTGCTCAGTATGACATGTGTTGTGGAGCTGGCTGGCTATTGAGAGATCTGTCCTCTTGTGGAGAATCCAGTATGCCCCCTAGTTTCTGAAGAAAATTACTCCCAGAAAGCTGGACAAAAGAGATCAGAACCCAGCCCCTGTATGGACACCTGCTCAAGGGACCCCCTAAGCCAATCTCTGTTCCCTGCTTCACCTGCCTTCCTGGACCCTGGCTATATTTATGGAGTTTCAGAGCAGCGTTTAGCTACACTGCACCAGGGGCATGACCTTGAAAGCACAACACTAAGGCCAGCTCGTCCAGTTGGAAAATAAAACTTCAAATCAAACTTACACTTGCGTTTGAATGGGAGACGGAGAGGAAGAAAGAACAGAAGGATAGGTCTGAAGGAAGGATGGTAAGGGTTTTATATAAATTTCTTTTTTTGCTTTTGTTTGTTTTTCAAAGCATGGTTTCTCTGTATAGCCTTGGCTGCCCTGGAACTCTGTGTAGATCAAACTGTTCTCAAACTCAGAGATCCATCTGCCACTACCTCCTGAGTGCTGGGATTAAAAGCGTGCACCACTGCCACCCAGCTTTATGTAAATTTCTTGAGAACATAGTCCTATTTGAAAAGACTAAAGTGGGATCCTGTTGATTGTTGAAGTAATTACTTAAAATCAGCCACCGGCCATGCCGGCTATCTAAGCTGCGGCGCCTCTGCCTAGCTCAGCCGCCATGTTTCTCGACCGGAGGCCACATGCGTGCCACAGCTAGAAATAGCCAGAAACACCAGCCCGGCCACCCACGAGACACCAGCATGGGAGATGGCTCTGCCAATCTTCCACACTGTCTCCGCAAGGCTGGGCATTGCCCAGACCATCCCATCAACCATGCAGGCTTGGTACAAATGAGACTCTAATGCTTAGATTATCCAAAGGCTTATATATTTGGTAATGATCAATTGCAATATGCCCATACAGAAAGAGTTGTTTCCCAATTAGCTAACCTAAATAAAAGTTGTTACCCGAGACTGCTCTCCATACCTGTGTGGCTCTCCATCGCTCCTACATCTCTCTCTCCCTAACTCCTCCTCTTCTTTTTCCTCTTCCCCTCTCTATTCCTCCTCTTCCTCTCCTTACTTCTCCTACCTTAGCTCCTCCTACAGTTGATAAGGCCACTAAGGCCTATAAAGGGTTAAAGTTTAGCTGTGACCATTTGATAAAAGTTTTGGTGAAAAACATGTTTTTTGAGAGGAGTCTCACTATGTACCATTGGGTGGTCTGGAACTTGCTATATAGATCAGACTGGCCTTGAACTTGCAGAGATCCACCTTCTTCTGGCTCCTGAGTATCAAGATGCACCACCAAACCTGGATTTTTTTTTTTTAACTCTTGAGACTTTGTTCAACTTTTTCATTCCTGTGACCAAATACCAGAGAGAAATGCCTTAATAGAGGAAGGCTATTGTGGCTCTTGAGAGGCTTTTATGTGTGGTCAACTGGTTCCATTGTTTAGGCCACAGTGAAGAAGAATTTTATCATAAAAGACTCTGAGGAGAAACTGTTTTCTTCCTGGCCACCAGTAGTCAGAGAGAGGGGGAAGAAGGGAACCATGGATAGTGTGGTGGTTTGAATAAGAATGAACCCAGAGGCTCGTATATTTGAATGCTTGGTTCCCAGTTGGTGGAACTGTTTGGGAAGGATGAAGAAGTGTGGCCTTGTTGGAGAAAGTGTGGCCTTATTGGAAAAAGGGTGCCAGTGGGGGTAGGGTTTGAGGTTGCAAAAGCCTGGGACTGTTCCCAGTGTGCCTCTCTGCCTCCTGCTTATGGATTGACATGTGAGCTTTCAGCTGCTGCTCCAGGGCCTGCCACTGCGATTTTACTCATCTCCATAATCTCTAACCCTGTGGAACTGTAAACCCCACTAAACTCTTTTGTAAGATTGGTCATGGTGTCTTAACACAGCAATAGAAAAGTAACTGAGACAGACAGGTATCCCTTTCAAGAGGATAGGCCATGATTATTTCTCTAGCTAGACACCCTCATCCCCACTCCTAAAGTTGCCACTATCTCCCCAGGTAACAGCACTAGCTGGGGACAAATGTTCTGTACTTGAGCCTGTAAGGACATTTTATCGTGAGACAAAAGGGATGCATATGCACATGCCTTTTTTAAGATACTCATCAACATCACTATTTAAATCATTGATTTGGGGGAAAGGATTTGAACATTGCATGACCAGGCGCTATTTTAATGATTTTATAAATGACCCACTTTCACGCTTCTCCTCTGGTGTCCGGTGTTTCTGGAAGACAGTGGGACTTTCTGAACACAATTTCCAAGCAAAGCAAAACTAGAGATAGAAGGCAAGTATGCCTACACGACCTAAGTGGCTAGCTCTCTGTGAGCTGTATAGGCTTGCTGAGTATGGATATGCATATGGCACAGTGAGCTTCCCTGCAAGGGTTACCTGTCCTGACACCCAGATACCCAAGTGGTATAGATGAGGGAGATATTAGCACAAAGATGGAAGGGTTCTATCTAAAGCCAGAAACTCACACACCTCTCCTTTCTCCAGTCTCCAGGTTAATGTGGTAGAGGCTCTAAGAAGAGGCCATCACCTGTAGAGCTGGGGAAAATAACCAGGGAGATGAGTGACAGACACATTACATTATTCAGTCACTGAAGAGGCCAAGAGGAATGTTAAATTAGAAGCGATGAATCTAGATGCAGCCATTTTGTTATTGTCTTAAATAGTTGATTCTTATTTCTCTCTTCTCATATGAATGGTTTGACGCAACTTTGTCTTCTAGGTTAATCTCACAGTATAGACTTTAGAGGTGGAACTTTGAATCAATTTGATTTGCAGGCATTTGTTACCAAAATATGCTGAGCTAAGTGGAAAAGTGCCATGGCTGGAACAGGAGCATTAGAAACTTGACAGCCAACGCAGCGATTCGGGGTGGGGCCTGATGAGACATGATTGGGTCATGAGGACCCTATTGTCATGGATGACATGCTAACTTTAAAAGAATTTAAAACTACAAAACAGTCTCTTTGCCTTTCCCCTTCCACCCACAGACGAGGCAGATGTAAAGCCCTTGATTTTGAACCTACTACCTTCCAGAGATATGGATGACACATTTATTTTCCTTACAGCTTGCTCAGTCTTGTATGTGCTGATATAGAAACGAAACTGACTGAGACAGAGATAAAAATATTGTCGTCTATCACCAAGCCAGGGAGGTTTACTCAGAATCCCTGGGAAATAACACCAAGTGGATTTTGATCTCAAAAGGCTAAGATAAGGCTAAATTAGGGCTGGCCGTGCTCACTGAGTTAAAGCATTTACTGATGACCCTAAAGCCCTGAGTTCTCCTTCTGGAGTCAACCAGGTAGAAGGAGAGAAGAAATCCCTGCAAATTGTCCTCCTACCTCTATATGTACCCAACATGCCTCATCATACATGCATGTGTGCGCGCGCGCACACATACACACACACACACACACACATAGAAATAAATGAATGAATGCAATAAATAAATAAATAAATAAATAAATAAATAAAACAAAGGTGTGTTTTAAATATCAGACAGTGGCTAAAATCACATCTAACTGCATCAAAGTGTGTTCCCGTTGAGGTCTGGTTTGCTCTTTGCTTTGTTTTGAGGTAACTGCACACAACAGGGGAACCTCAACAGTCTAATACAAACAGTTTGCACACACCCCCACAAGCTCAGTGAAAATCAACAGCTTGCTACAAAAATAGCCTTTTGCTAACTCTCTTTTTTCCCTTCCCTTCATTTTTATTTGTTACAGCTAACTTAGTTTACAAAGAAAGTGAAAAGAGATATGTCCATCACCTGAGGCACCAATGAAAAGGAAGCAGATGTGTGAGACTTTTGAATTTGCTTTGATCTATCATATCAAAAGGGATCTTGAACTTGAAAACTGATGGGCAAACGCTGTAAGAAAAAGAAAAGTTCAAGCCAGGGGAAGAGACAGCTAACTGGCTCTTTTACATGAGCTTGGATACTTTGACCTAATCAAATAACACTTCAGGACACTGAACCTTTGAGAAACTGGAGACAATGGTGGAGGTGAAGAGAGTTTTGATTTTTTTTCCTTAAGAACGATCGAGTTTGGTGGTACACAGCTTAATACCTGGCTTTGAGGTAAGGCTGAGGTGGAAAGGTCATAAATTCAAGTCAGCTACACTAAGAACAAAGCCCTGTCTAAAAAAAAAAAAAAGAAGGAAGGAAGGAAGGAAGGAAGGAAGGAAGGAAGGAAGGAAGGAAGGAAGGGCAGGCTTACAAGTTGTCCTCTGACCTCTGTGTGTGTACCATGGTTCTCTCTCTCTCTCCTCTCTCTCTCTCTCTCTCTCTCTCTCTCTCTCTCTCTCTCTCTCTCTCACACACACACACACACACACACACACACACACACACACAAAATCAATCAATAAATGTAATTTTTACATTAAAAAAAGGGTTGGGATGCTTTGTAGAGAGCTTTGCATAGAATGCACGAAACCCTGGCAGCACACCTGTGATCTCAGCAGACAGGGTGGCACACCTATAATCTCGGCAGACAGGGTGGCATACCTATAATCTCAGTAGACAGGTCCTGCACACCTGTGATCTCAGCATTTATGAGTTCCCTGTCTCAAAAAGAAAAAAAAATCTTCTGGAAATAACAGACTCACAAATGTGTCATTAGTTTAAAGCAGAATTGTAAAGTAGTATCTCAAGTAGTCTGTGGTAGTGTAAGTGGCAAATACTAGTAATAATTTTTTTTTTAAAAAAAAAAGCAGCTTTATTTTCAAGACAATTGGAAGACAGGATTTGAAGTATCCTTATAACAAATAAATACTTTTGGGGTTAGGAATAAGTATACGCTCTTACTTAGTTATTACTACATACATGTGTTGAAAAGCCACACTGAATTCCATAAATATACAGTTATTGTACATCAATTAAAAATAAAATTCAAGACAAAAATAAATTTGAAAAGAAAAGAAGAAAGGGCAGGCCAGGAAGACATGATTCTTTCTTTTGAATAGTATTCTCTAACTGCTAACTCCAGACATTCAGACACTGATTTCTGCCACTGAAAAGGCCCTTTGTTGAGCTGAGCATCGATCGCACTGGTAACTCATGCTTATAACCTGAGATTTTGGAAAGCTAAGAAGAGAGAACTGAGTCTGAGGCCAGCCGAGAATACATAGTGTATCCCAGGCCAGCTTAGGCCACATCGTGAGGCCCTATCTCAAATAAAAAGGAAAGAAAAAAGATAAGAAAAGCTCTTTGATTGTGTTCAGTGGGAAAGGGAGGCCAACAGTGATCCCTGCCTCTGCACAGATCTCCTACTGAGAAGCTAGTGTGTGGCTAAACCTTTGGCCCTCTCAGAATCTCAATAATCTGAGACTTGAGAGAAGGCCATTGATTTTGCAGGAAAGCTATTTCTGCTAGGAGAGGTAATACATTAGGTCACAAAAAAATATCTCACTGCACACCAGTGACATAAGGAAGTAGGTGAAAAGTATTTAAGTCCTTAGAGACAAAGGTGCAGAGTCTTAGAATCAAGGCAATTAAGTCTAAAGGAACACATGGTTGAGACAGGATCACAAGACTGGTTGAACAGGAAGGTTTGCCTTGACACAGGTCATGGGAAAAGACATGGAAGTAATATTTCTGGTAAAGCCCATCAGGGACTTTAGGTCAGGGCAACAGAAATCCATCTTAAGACGGTGTACATAAAGGCTTGATGGATGTTCATCATCTGTCTAAGGGAGAATGAAGTCATCAGCAGGGTGTCAGGGAAAAATGAGATCATGGCAGAAAGTATCAGCTTAGTGCAAACACACAGGTATAGCTCCTGGGAGAGGTGAATACTGTCCCCAAATACCTGAGGAACTATCCCTTTGCATAAGAAAATAGACTAGTCCATGAAGTCTGGGTAACCTTAGAAGAGGGGATGACTACTCCTCTCAAAGAGACCTCGCGAAAACATTTATTCTAAATCTTGCTGTTCGAAACCATTATGTGCTGCTGATGCTGATGCTGATGCTGATGCTGATGCTGATGCTGATGATGCTGATGATGTGTGAGGGATGAGGGCTCGCTCAGATGGTGCAAGGCTGAATGACCAAGTTGAGCCTGGCACATGCAGAAAAAACAAACAAATTCAAGAGGGATGCTGAAGACACTGTTGGCTATGTGGCTTAGCATGTGGTTTACTCCTTATGCATGGCATTCATAATCTAAGGAGGTAAGCATAACATGTAGTCACAAGTTCAACAACAGACTTGAATCCCAGCTCTGCCCCCTACCCCCGTTTATTGGGTGACTAGACAAGTTAGCCATCCTGGCCACCGTCCCCTAATGTGTAGCATAAAGACAATATAAACATTTACCCCGTGAAGATGCCATGAACATCTAACACAGAGAAAGCACTCCAAACTCTGGCCAGTACATAAGAAACGCACAGAGATGTGTTTGTGATTTATTATGATCCCCGTGCAATCTAGTTATGGTTTGAAGATCCCTAGTTGGAAATTCTGGACGAAGGTTGACAATCACCTGAGCAGGCAGGCAACTATCACTAAAAGATTTGGAGAGAGGCTTTGGTGCCGAGAGTTTCTGCATTCATGCAAGAACTGTGTTGAGAAGCAGGCAGGAAAGTTCATTCAGGACTCACGCAATGTCTAAAGCCAACTACCATCAGCAGATAATTCTGTCCAGCTCCTGCCCAGTTGTCACAGTTAGCAAAGTCTGGGAGGCAGATCCTAGAATCTAGGGAGCAGCTTCCACTGAGGACACAGCTGGCTTCTCAGGCTCCTCTCCCAGATCCACAATCCGGATGGCGTTTTCTTTCTTAGACAGCCAGAAAGCAGCATAGACAGGCTCTGAGAACTTGCAGTCAAACTTGTGAATCAGAGTCATGGCATCATATTCTACGCCATAGAAAGAAAGGGTTCCTCCTGGGAAATTTACATAGATGCCGAGCCTCCGGAAAGGGCTGGTCTTGAGCGGGGTCTCTGTGTCACTGTGCCAGGCTGTGAAGTCCTTCCCATTCCAATGAATGCTCCAGGAGAAACTGTTTCCAGAAATGCAGCTGTTCCGTTCCTCCCCCTTACGGTCAATGCCTTTGCAGGTCAAGCCAACATAGGTGCCTCCTCCAGAGATTTCCACCTCAAAATAATACCTGTGCAGGTACAGACTCTGTTGGGACAGCACCTGCCGCCAGTGCAGAAACCTGCTGGGGAGGTCCGGGTAGGGGTGTTCCCAGGGTGTGGTGTTGGTGACCTTGCGGTTGTCCTCCTGCAGGCGAAGGTACCTGTGTGCTGTGTCTGGGTCAAGTGTGATGTCACATGCATCTGAGGAAACACAGAAAACAGTTTTAAGCCCAAGTGACCCCCCACAAGGAATACTTGAGAAAACATCCATCTTTTGGTTTTATTTACCCAACCAATGCTCCCTAGGAGAAGGGGTAGGTGAAAAACAGTGCAGCTTTCTGAAGCTCAAGTTGATTGTCACTTGCTGTTAACATCTGAGCTGAACAAAGAAATTAACTCATTCATTCATTCATAGACTATACACAGGAAGTCCGACACTACTCCATGGATTTGAGGTGAGGTGAGAGATTCAGGACATTGTATACCTACATTTGACCCGCCCATTTGTTTGTTAAGCATTTGACCAGCATTTAACATGGTAAAGCCTTAGACATGCTGTCAAATGCAATCTCAAAGACTAATTAGGGCACCTCCTGCCCAACTACTCCAGTCACACACAAAATCATTACTTTGGCTCTCATCCCTCCTGCAATCCAGACAGCAGGAGGTCCCATAGACTCCAGCCAGTCCTTCCCAGACTCCTGCATCACCTGCCCTGACTTTCCTTAATGATAAACTGTGACCCAGAACGAAAGGTGAAAAAAATCTCCTCCCCTGCGTTATTATTGTTCAGAGCGGTTTATCACAGTGACAGAAAGGAAACTAGAACACATGGAAACATCTGTGTTCCTGGATTCAACTTTGGGCCAATGTGGTGGTTTGAAAGAGAATGGCCCCCAAAGGCTCATATATTTGAATACGTGGTCCCCAGTTAGTGGATCTGTTTAGAAAGGATTAGGAGGTGTGGCTTTGTTGGAGGAGATGTGTCACTGGGAATGAACTTTAGGGTTTCAAACACTTATGTTATTCCTCTCTCTCTCTCTCTCTCTCTCTCTCTCTCTCTCTCTCTCTCTCTCTTTCTGTCTTGAGGTTGTGTCTCAATATGTAAACTCCCAGCTACTGCTTCCACACTGTGCCTGCTTGCTGCCATGCTCCCTGCCAGGATGGTCATGGACTCTAGCCCTCTGAAAGTGTAAGCTCCCAATAAACACTTTCTTTTATATTTTATACATTGCCTTAGTTATGATGTTTTATCACAGCAATACAAAAGTAGCTAAGACAACCAGAAAAAAAAAACCTGCAATGTTGTTAATAATATTGCAACAATACTAATTTCCTGCATGAAGTATCATAGTTATGTATGATGTCAACGTTTTGGAGAAACTGGGTGATAGGAGAATATATAGGAATTTTTGCATTTTTAATTTATTTCAAAAAGAAAAACTTTCAGTTAAAAGCTTAAAAGTGTATTATTTAAGAATAGATGAGTGGTTACAAGAATGCAAATCCTCTACAAGATGTAGTGGTTCTTGCCTTGGCAAAAAGCATTCCTCTGCCCTCAGCATGTCTGAATGGGGCAGCCTTTCACAACTTACATTGAAGAAACTCATCCCGGGTTCTGGGCTCAGGTTTTGAGGTCCTATACTTGCGTTGAACAATGGCAGACACTTGAGTTCTGATGTCATATTCCTCTAAAAAAAAAAAATCATAGAGTTGTAAATGAGTACCTGTCCAGGTGGCTTCAAGAACCCAGGAAACGGGGCTGCTCCTCCCCAGGCTTCTCGAGGGTCTAGTTCCTGGGAACTTGGGCACACTCAATGTACCAGACAACCCTTGCTGGAGAAGATTCCAGGGTGACACAAAATTCACATCAGCATCAGAAAAAAAAAATGGCTTTGAAATGGGTTGTTTTCCCTCCCTTCCCAAGTTCCCCATTTCCTCACCACTGTTCCAGAAAGCGCCTCACCTTCCCTGGAAAACTCCTGGAGCTTTTCCTTATAGCTTTCTAGCAATTGGATCAAGTGCAGAGTTGAATCTGTGATGACCTTGCGGATGCCTGAGAGTTTATCCTTCAGCCCTATGTAAACGCTAGGGAAGGCAGTGTCCTCTGCCTTCTTAAGCTTGCAGTACTCCTGCAGAGAGAGAAACAGAATCAGGCAGATTCTCTTGGCATGTGTCTTTCTGCATTTGGGAAATGGGCTGATAACAGTGTGTGCTTCACAGAGAAAGTGCACAGAAAGTGTGTGATGCTGCTAGACAGATGTTTCTCAACCTGTGGGTCGTGACCCCCTATAGGACCATCAGACAACAGATATTTATATTACAACTCACAACAGTAGCAAAATTATAGTGATGAGTAACAATGAAAATGATTTTATGGTTGGGGGTGTCACAACACGAGGAACTGTATTAAAGGGTCACAGCCATGAAGCCCTGCGTTTGACCCCACACTGTGGCATAAATCAGGTATGGTGGCTGTTACCTATAATTTCAGCATTTGGGAGGTAGAAGCAGGAGGATCAGAAGCTCAAGGTCATCCTCAGACTCATAGTGAATTAGAGGCCAGCCTGGAACATATGAGATCTCGATAAGAAGAAAAAGAAGAGGAGGAAGAGGAAGAAGAGGGGGAGGAAGAAGAGGAAGAGGAAAAGAAAGAGAAAGAAGAAGAGGAGGAGGAAGAAGAATTACAAACAGAGAAGAAAGAATTTATTCTTATACTTTTTAGAAGAGATCCTGGTAGAATCCCATGGACTGGGGAGTCAAATCTTCACATTTTCTTTGTATCTTGAAATTGTAAAGCAAACCAACGGAAAGAACAAGAAATCTTGTCCATATTTTTGTCTCTCATCTTTGGTACCCTCCTCTCACTTGATGAAAGATTAACCATGGCTGCCTTTGGGTACTAAGGTTGCAAGCAGTTTGTTTGTTTGTTTGTTTGTTTGTTTGTTTTTCATAATTTCTGTTTTTCACTATAGATATTTAGTTTTCTATAAATAGAAGAGGATTGTTTCAAAAACAAAAGCAAGAAATTGTTTGTACTTGAAATAGTAAAACTGAAAGAAAAGTTACACATTATTTACTCTGCCCTGTCGTTGTTGCTAAGTGAGGAATTTGATACCCCTGAGAGTTTGGGTGACTGTTCTTTTAAAGCTACACAGTGGTATCTAAAGTCAGATCTAGGACCATGTGTGGTGTTATCCTATAAGACAGCAGGTTCTTGAGACCCAGCGCTAACTGGTTCATGCCTCTTGTGTTCAGTGATACCTTGTGAGATGGAAAGTTCCGTTCCCTTTCCTAAGCCTTCCTCAGTTTCAGCCCTGTCTGAAAGCCAACAGTCTCTCCAGGCTCACACTGTCATGCAAACCTCCGCTTCTCTTCACTTCCCCTCCTTAAGTCCGTCACAGTTGCCTACCTGTCTGGCCCTGCCAGGCCCTTCCATCACTATAGACGCCACGCGCGTTCCTTGTCAGAGCTCCTTAAACCAGTCCTGATTTTTCATGCTCCCGTCTTTGCACAGGCATTCTCTATCTGGAACATACAGCACCTAGACCCTGACCCACCTTCCAGCACCTCCCCCACTCTGAGCAGTCCTCTCCATCCCTCCTGGATTACTGTTGTCTGATGATTCAAGACCTGACTCCTGTGCTTTTACAGTTCCCTGTACAATAAGACAGTCCCATTCACAGGTGTGTCTCAGGCCAGATGCCTCAAGGGTCCCCTGCCTCCCCCAGCCTCTGTACCTCCAGGAAGAGCACAGTGTTGCTGATGGAGGCCAACTTCTCCAGCTCCTGCTTGCTTTTCTCCATCTCGATGCTCCTGTGCTCCAGGTGGGTCTTGATGCCATTGACCTGATTCAGTGCAGCCTGTTCTTTCTCCTCTAAGAAGAGCATCACATCAGCCTGGGCCTTCCTCACGGCTGCGAGGAGTTCCCCAAACTTCTCTTCAGCCACCACCTTCACCTCTGACACCGACACCTGATGAGGATGGAGGGGGAGGCAAGCTTTGTTACAGAGACTTCCAACTTGGCCAAAGCTCAACATTCATAACCGGGAAGGCAAAAAGCCCAAATATTATGGAACACCAGACTTTTTCAAGACAGAGTTTCTCTGTGTAGCCCTGGCTGTCCTGGAACTCACTCTGTAGACCAGGCTGGCCTCGAACTCAGAAATCCGCCTGCCTCTGCCTCCTAAGTGCTGGGATTAAAGGCATTTTGTTCTTGTAGGAATTCTGGGTTACTGGGGAAATAGATGTACTCTTCTCAGTACATACTGATGAATCAAGACCTGACATTCCTGCTTTTACAGTTCCCTGTAGGAAAAGACAGTCCCATTCACAGGTGTACCTCAGCCAGATGCCTTGAGGGTCCCCTGATTCCACAAGACTCTGTACCTTCAGGAAGAGCACAGTGTTGCTGATGGTTTGGTATATACTGATTCAGTGGTTCTCAACCGGCCTAATTCTGTGACCCCTTTAATGCAGTTCATCATGTTATGGTGACCCCCAACCATAAAGTTGTTATTGTTGCTACTTCATAACTATTTTTGCTACTGTTATGAATCATAATGTAAAGATTTGAGTCTTCTGATGGTCTTAGCCAACCCCTGTGAAAGAGTACTGATTGTCATAAGGGCAATACCAGTATTCAGTATATTTGATAAATACGTTTCAAGAGACAGAGAAACAACTGGGCTGTTTTGTGTAAGCATTCTCAGCATCTCATTATTATGCCTTGTTTAATAGACTGTTGACTCAGCCAAAAGTGCATCTGAGATTACAGTGTTTCTGGAGGACAGGAGCCCCCCATGACTCTTCCATTTCCTTCCTGCAGGCAGCCCTCACAAAGGTTTAAAAAGTGTTGAAGGAAGTGGCACCCAAGCCCTTCCATGTACTTCCTGAGAAAGTCTTGAATATTGTTTCCTTTGCCCTAGCCCCTGTCTCTGCACCACAAAGCCCACGGTTCATCCTCCACCCACCTCAGCATCTTTCACACCCCACCACCCACATATCTGAGCTCTCTCTCAGGTTCTGGTTTTTATCCTTCCTAACTGAGGGCCAGGGCCGGACATCAGGCCTCCAAGAGAAGCAAAAGCAGTTGATTTCCTCAGTGAGGCACACAAGCACCCCTCTCTCCCAGGCACACAAGCACCCCTCTCTCCCAGGCACACAAGCAACCCTCTCTCCAGGGAGGCAGCCATTCAAAATGGGTAACCTGGTAAAGAAAGGGCTGTCCCAGTGTCTGTGGGAGCCAACACCTTCGGAGAGATAAATTAAGAAGGAATGATGGCAGCAGATAGGAGAACCATTACCTGCTTCAGGCTAAACCTTGGAATGCAATGCTAGAATACATAGTCTCCAATCTGCCCTTGATCTACGGCTGACGGCACAAAAAAAGAAAACAAGCAAATGGTGTGCACGTACACACGCAGAGAGATACTTATACACAAACACACATACATACACTGAAATACACATACATACATACATACATACACAGTCACACACATACCAGGAAGCGTCCTGGAGAGTGTATGGAATGCCCACATGCTCACTGCATTCCAGCTTTTCCATTATCTGTTGGTTTTCTTATGATGGGGCAGTTGAACAGAGCTAGAAGCAAATACACTGTGGTACCATTAAGAAAGAGGGCAGAGTGCAGATTCTCTCCAAATTCCTCCAGCCCAGACCTAGAAAAGCCCTGGGATGGGCACTCATTCCAGCCCTCTGGCTCACTCACCCTTCTCACCCTCAAGCAGTGGGGTGTCATGAGTCATAGAAGCAAGAAAGGACAACATGCTCTGCCTACTCCCTATCCAGACAGCCTTTAAACTCTTAGCAAACCTCCTGTCTCAGCCCCAACGTGCTATGGGTCACCATAACAAGCTTGAGTTAGCTTTCTGAAACCAGAGTATGTTTACATGATATGGGGGTTGTGGAGATTTTTTTACTCAGAGCTCTGGGACTTGTCCATGCCCTGGGCTGCTTCTATTGTGCAGAGGAGAGTGGTCTCTATGAGCAGATCACTAGTCTCATGTTCGGGAGGCTCGAAAAAGAGTAGAGAATTCCTAGGTTAGTAAGCAGTGTTTGATAAGACCTGTGCAGTGCCACACTGCATGGGTTTGGCCTCTCTGCTTTCTGGCCACTTTTTAAACTGACTCTAAAATCCAGGAATGGAAAAAAACATGACAATCAACATGAGGGTGCCATGGGAAAGGAACATAAGCCATTTAACCTCCATAGTTACAATGTGTTGGTTCTAAAAGAACGATTAGGTGAGGCTAGCTGCATTAGTCTGAAGACAAAATTGAAGAGCACATCCTTCAGTGATCATCCGGAGGAAGGCTAGAGGAAGGGAGGCACCGGAGGATGGATGAGCCTTCTGCTGTGGCCTCTCCTTCCTCAACATTCCCACTGAGAAATTTTCAGGTGAATAAAACGTGTGCCAGATGCTAATTACTTCCCTAACTACGACAAGTAAACTATACAGAGAGAGAGCCATGAACATATATCAAAGTGGTCAGTAGCTAATGGTTTAAAAACCTAAAGGTGGTGTGCATGCCCGGCAGCTACTGAACCATTCTCAGGCCAAGGAAACCATTACAGATTCTCCCATCCAGTCAGTAAGAAGAGTCCAAGGCAGGTCCTGACATCTCTCTGTGTCTCCACATTCTTTGTAGTGAGGGCCATTGCAATATCTCTCTGGCCACCATGTCACTATATGAACTAATTAGGGATCAAATTAAAGAGCCAGAACAAGGTAATGTCCTGTGTGATCCTCTAAATCATCCAGAACTTTCCAATCAAGTCTCTGGGATGTTACAAGAACTGTTTTTTTTTCTTCATTCTTTCTTCCATTCCTTCCTTCTTTCTTTCTTTTCTTTCTTTTGAAAGACATTACACCTATAAGAAAGAACACAAGGTCTGTATAGAGGAAGCTGACCTCTCACATAAGAGACTACTTAGTTATATTCACAGTGCACACCTCATGGCCACAGGTAGCCATGAGGGTCCTGGAGAAAGAGAGAGAGAGAGAGAGAGAACTATAGACATGTCAGTTCCCTCCTACAACATAGGGGGCTCCTCCAGTGACAGGTTTGCCACACTGTGATCTAGTCTGTCTTAGCCTCCATGCCAAGGGGCATGAAAGGGAGCACAGAGTAGGACCATAAACTTATACGAAGTTATAAGGGAGAGGGAAAGCATATCAACTCTATGTCTTAAGAGGGAGAGACTGCAGAAATGTGGCTGGTTTCTGGGAGACATAGAAAACACAGGAGTTAGAAGGCCTGTGATCTAACAATTATGGGTAAGGAAGGATTTATCCTTCAGCAGCTAGTTGGTTATAAACACTCAGGAGACAGAAATTACGCTGGGTATTAGATTAGAATAAATGTATAGGTGAGAGGGTGGGTGGATGAAGGGATGGGTGGATGAAGGGATGGGTGGATGGATGGATGGGTGGATGGATGGGTAGATGGATGGATGGGTGGATCGATGGATGGGTGGATGGATGGGTGGATGGGCATGTAAATAAATAAATGATAGGTGAGTATATAGGTGAGTAGTTGGATAAAGGATGAATAAATGGTGGACAGACAGACAGAAGCATAGAATCATTCATTCTCAGCATGCAAGATGATACCGCCAACTCACTACCATAGAGAAGGTGCCCTATATTCTCTTCTGAGTCGTAGCTCTTGGCTTGTCATCAATGAAAAATATTTATGGAACTTACTTTGGGAAGTTGAACACAAACCAGAAGAGCCTAAAGCTAAACATTCTGTCATAGCATTGGCCTTGTGAAATGCCACTTACAGATCTAGGAGTTCTTGGTTCTTTTTTCCAGCTTCCAGCATACCACCCTCTTGGGATAGAAGAAGCTAGGGGACACATGCTCCCTGGAGCTCTGGCTTAAACACCTCCAATCACAAGCACACACGTATATACACGTTCCTCCTCATTAAGAAAGCATATACAAGCTTGATGTGGTGGTGTGTATCCAGCAACACTTGGGAGGCTACCACAGGAGGATTGCTAAGAGTTTGGTGTTAACTGCTCTATATGGTGAGTTCTAGGCTAGTGTGAGCTGCAAAGTGAAACTCTGTCAAAAAGCAAAACTTAAAAGGAAAGAGAAAAATAATATACACAATATAAAATTGGGAAAGCTATTAATCTGGGTCTGTTTCGTATTATTAAAAGGTAAATCGTTTGCCAGTTTTAAAAACTTAAGTCAATTTTTAAAATATTTTTATTACAATTTTATGTGTATAGCTTTTTGTCTATATTTATGTCTATGTATCACATGCCTGGTGCTCATGGAAGCCTGAGAAGTTAATTAGATACTCTGGAACTGAAGTTACAGATATTTCTGACCTGCCGTGTAGGTGCTGGGAATTGAACTTGGGTCCTCCAAAAATGCAGCTGGTACTCATAACCAGTGAGCCATCTCTTCAATCTCCTTAAGCCAGTCTTGCCAGAAATCCTGGCAGGGTGAAGGCACCTCATAAAGTGGCCGACTGTGCCTACTACTTTCACTTGCTGAGATCTCAGGTAGGTCTTCAGTCTGTGTCCTACAAGCCCAAGTGGCAGTTGCAGACAAATACATAATAGCCAGAGAGGTGACCTGAACCAAACTTACCAAAACAGACTTATGGTTGGCTTGGAGCCTGGCAATGGCATTTTCATTCAACTTGAGCTTCTGCTCCAGGTCCAACTGCATGCACCGAAGGTCCACCTAAGGGAGAAGGAGAGGATTAAGGAGGAGAGAGAACGGGGTATACAAATAGTCCGCACTGGCTGTGGCATTTTCTGTCCTTCATGTCCCTGCCTTTCTCCCCAGAAAGGAGAGCATGACCTTTAAGCTGCTCTCAGAAGCTAGCCTAGAGACACAAAAGGTGAAACAGGTGCTAGTGGCCTCCTGGGACTGAACTCAGCATGAGCCAACTGCCATTCAACTGCCATGGCCCGAGATGAATGCTGTGCTGGTATGTGGGTCATTTATGTCCCACTGTAACTACCTTCTGCCTGTGCCCTGAGAAGTTAATTCAGGATGAATGATGAATTCAAAAGTAGTAGACTAATTTGTTTGGCAGAGGAAATCTCAAGACCAAATAATGTTCAGGCTGAGTCAATTACTGCTCACTGTGGTAACTCACCCAGGAGACAGAGACAGAGAGAGAGAGAGAAAGAGAGAGACAGAGAGACAGAGAGACAGAGGGAAAGAGACAGAGAGACAGAGAGAGACAGAGAAAGAGAGAGAGACAGAGAGAGACAGAGACAGAGAACGAGAGATAGAGAGAGAGAGAGAGAGAGAGAGAGAGAGAGAGAAGAGAAGTGGGTCCAGAAAATGTGCAAGTTAAGGAAAATAGCAAAACTGAAAGCTGTGAACAGGTGGATTCTAAATCATCTGTAAACAGATAAAGGGATTCGCCCTATTAGAAAGGCATCTCATGCTCTGTGTGGGACATAGGGACCATGTCTTGAGAGCAAGACCTCTCATCAAAAGCTTCAATTTTTGAAGATGTGAATATATTTGAAACAAGAGAGACTAAACTGGGATTGTCATAGAAGGGGTTCTCTACTCAAAAAACAACTCCCTGGTGAAGTGTTTTAGAAGATTCAGCCAGCAAGGCATACAGAGAGGCTACTACAGTTGTCACTCAAGGGGGCCGAGCTACATCTTAGGCTGGCAGCATCAGCCATGTGGTCCCGGTTCTGCAAGCGCGACAGATGCAGCAAGATACCAGAAAGCTAGTGTGGCTGGACAGGGTGTGGCAGTATGACTTTCTACAAGGAGGCCCTGAAAGGATGCTGGGTAAGATGAGATTTGGTGAAAGCCAGAACCATAGGGTATCCTCTACGGAAGCTACAGGCCTAGAGCACAGCCTTCCCAGGAAAAAGACTGTTGTGCGCTTCCCAGAATAGGAGTGCCATCCCAAGCCCCAGAACTGAGCATGAAGTTATAAAACATATAAATTATAAATCAAACCAAAGCAAGGTAACAAATATATATATATTATAACATATAATACTATCTATTTTAAATATTAGTGCATCAGGAGACCTATGATTGGACAGGGAAAAGGAAGGCAAAGCTAAGCGTGGGAGAGAGAGAGAGGAAGAAGAGAGGGAGCAGAAGATGGAAGCAGGTGTCAACCAGCGTGTATTTAACCAGTCTTAGGCAGAGATGTTATGAAAAGGTTAGGATATTTGGGATAGTACTGTCTAATCTGTGTTGGTATCTTACCATTATCAATTGGCCATGAAATTATTGTATGGGAATCCTGAGATTTGAGTATTTGATGATATACAAATCTGATTGGTTAACTATAAGCATTGAGAGTTTTGATTTAGTGGGTTAATGGTATTGTGATATCTGACCCCAAGGCTGGTGGTGGGCAGAGGCAACGACCCCGCCAATATCTCGGGGGCCCTGGGCCAACCCGACTGAAAGATATCTAACTCTGAGGATGGCAGTGAGACCACCAGCCAGTACCAGACTCTAGTGTGGGAACATGGTGGCAGGTCCAGAAAACTTCTGCTGGGTGTCTTTTCTAAGACCTCCAGCATATATTACATATATAAATTATTAAATATCTTCTCTCTGTGTGACTCAGCCTGAATGTTAGTCAGTCTTGAGATTTCTTCTGCCAAATTGATCTACTACTTTTGAATTCATCCTGAATTAACTTCTCAGGGCACAGGCAGAAGGTAGCTACAGTGGGACATGAATGACCCACATACCAGCACAGCATTCATCTCGGGCCATGGCAGTTGGCTCATGCTGAGTTCAGTCCCAGGAGGCCACAGGCACCTGTTTTACCCTTTGTGTTTGTGTGTGTGCTTTTGTGTGTATGTAAATATATATACATGTATATTATGTTATGTATTATAATATGTAATATATGAATTACCTTGCTTTGGTTTAGTTTTTCCTTGTTCTGCCCCACCCCTCCCTTTTGGAGTGGGAATGCTTACTCTGTGCCTTGTATATCAGAATTGTGTAAACTGTGTGTTGATCCTACAGAGGATCATAGTTAAGACATTGCCTTCAGTCTTGGAAGAGACTTTGGACTTTTGAACAGTACTAGGACTGTTAAAGACTACGGGATTTTTGAACTGTGTTTTTCATTGTCAAGCAACCATATGCCTATGGGGGTACAAGGGTGGGTAAAACGTTCTTGTTTGAATGTGAGATGACTCCTAGATTCCCATGTGTTTGAATACTTGGTGTGGGTGCTGGGAATCGAGCCTGGGTCCTCTGGAAAAGCAGCGAATGCTCTGAACTACTGAGTCATCTCTCTAGCATTTGCTCTCTGCTTCTTGACTGCAGATTCAACATGAGCAGCTAACCCAAGCCCCATCCGTCTTGCCTTCCCACTATTACAGACTGCACCCTTCCTAAGCTGTAAAGCAAAAACTCTGCCTTCCTTAAGATCCTCTTTCTCAGGTATCCTGCCAGATCACCAAGAAAAACAACTAATCAACAGCCATGCATTTCTCATTATTTTACAACACAATGCCTCTAAATATCTATTTCTGTACCTGGGGCAGAGGAATACAATGCCTATGTCCTCAGGGTATGAGATGGTGAACTAAACAAAATTAGGTCTGATAATAAGAACTCTAAGAGCCAAGTACACTGCAAATGAGTAGTGTCAATAGTGCCACCCTTATAGTTATCAATAATCACCTTGCTTGCTGCCTTAGCTCCTTTCTAGCCGTACCCTATGGAGGCAGGCTCTGCCCTCCACACACCCTTGCCCAAGCCAGAGCACGTGCCTCCCTGAGAATCTTGGGTCTGCCCGCCTTGACCTTTCACTCTTGTCCCTTGGGCTCAGAGAACACCTTCTTCTGCCAAGAAAAACCAATTCGTCAACATAGAGAACCTAAGCCTTTGCAAACTTCAAAGTCACTGCCACTTTCCTGTGTCCACAAGGGCATGAGATTTAAGCTTCTGTCTGTGTTTTAAACTAATAGACCTCAGAAGTCATAAATTAAAGTCATTAAGTCTCTGGCTGTTTCCCCAGGAAGCCTCAGGAAGCTTCACACCTCCCTCCAACCCTGCCAACCCCTCTCTCTACACCCCACTACACACACACACACA